ACATTCTAATGTTTTTAATTGCCAACCATCCGGATTTGCTGTGAGTATGAATAAGGATTTTTTATTTAATTAAGCTAGCATATCTTTCATCCATCATAATTAGTCAATCTTATATTAATTACTTTTCCATTTCCAGAGCCAATAATCATATGTTAACACAAATATAAGAAAATCTGATTTATTTCTGTAATATAAGTTAAGAGTATAGAATGCCCATCAGATGTATGCATATGCTTCCCTTACATATTTAGAAAGGTTCGAAATAACTTGGTTCACATTCCACCACAAACACAAAAACCAGAAAAGAAATCAATATGTCAGTTCATGCATTTACTTCATGACACCAACTTCCTAAATCCCATTAATTAGTTTACAAAATTTCGCATGAGGTTGCTTTTATATCCATTCAATGACAAACTGTAAAATAGGAAGCCTTTCCGTTTCTGGAGGTAATTGCAGAGAGGCAGTTCTGTCAGCTTGTTTTTGTCACTGATGTATGTGTGGGGTTTTTCATTTACTCATTCATTCATTCATTCATTCATTCATAGAGCATGACTCTAATCTCTGGGGATGTAGCTGTGAATGAGACAAAAGAAGATTCCAACTTCCACTGAGCTCACTTTTTAGGGGGGAGACAGACAGTAAATAAATAAAAACAGTATTGATGAGTAATGTGCAAAGAATTAAAATAGAATGGAAGGAGGTGTTCAATGGCTCCTGTAGATGACGTACTCAGAGAAGACCACTCTGAGCAGATGGCATTAAAGCTGACAGTTGAGTGACAAGAGATGTCATGAATTGATCACAAGACTAAGCATTCCAAGAGGAAATCACAGCTGAAGCAAAGGCCCACAAGTGGAAGTATAATCCAGGGACCAAATGAAGGCCAATGCTGCTGGAGGGATGTGAACGGGGAACGTGGCAAGAGATGAGCTTAGGAAGAGAGAACAATCAAACAATACAGAGTGCGAATGTCATTTCAAGGTCCAAGAAGAGCTAGCAGAGGGTTTTAAACAAGGTAGTGATGTGATCTGGGTAACATTTTTTTAAAAGATATGGGGAGTTGTAAAAAAGACCAGTCTGGTTGTTCTGTGGCAAATGGATTGAATGGAGCAAGTATGAAAACAGGGAGATGTCGCTTGCATCTAGTAGCAGAGGTGAAAGAAGTAGATTAATTTAGGATCTGTTTAAAGGTAAAGCAAGAGAAGTTACTGATGGGTTGACAGTTGAAAGGTGTATTATAGAAAGAGAAGAATTCACCAAGAATAACTCAACCTTTTTTGTTTCAAAAGCTTTAGGACTTCAACATCCCTCAGCCATTTCCTGTATTTATTGCTGCATGGGTAATTTTCAAAGGTTGATTGTTTCTACAGTTGCATATTTCATTGGTTAGTATAAACTATTATTATACTTTCTGGATTTGAATCTGTATGATCTTGGGCAAGTTTCTTAATCCCTCTACCCTTCAATTTCCTTGTCTAAAAAAAGAATAATAATGTTCCCTGTTTCATAGGTCTGTTGACAGACGTGACTAAGAAAATACAAATAGAAGTACTTAGCCCAATACTAGACTACAGTAAGTGCTCAGTAAATGTTAGAACTTAGGTGATATATTTCTCTTTTATCCCCCTACTGTTGTGCATTCAGGTCTCACTACCTAGTAATAAGAGTTAACATTTAAAAAAAACCAATAAATTTCTGTTTCTTATACCATCCCATAATTATTATTTTTTTTATTTTAAAGATGTGGGGTACAATTCAGGATTAGGTAGATAAGTAGTCAGATAAAGTTTGGGCCTCCCTTTGGTCCCTACTTTGCCTGGTTTGAGATCAGGTACCCTTATTGATGTTATGTGACCCCCTCCTTCCCCCAGCAGCGTTCCACTACTGCCAAATTCCTTCTTATGGTGTTATTATAAATGTTCAGGGTCCACTTATGAGTGAGAACATGTGATATTCAGTTCTTTATTTCTGTAATCGATCACTGAATATGATATACTCTAAATCTATCCAAGTTGCTGCAAAGTCCATAATTTTGCCTTCTTTATGGCTATGTAATACTCTATCATATATATCTATCTATCATATATTATATATGCCACTTTTTTTTAATCCAGTCTGCTTTCGATGGGCAGCACAGTTGGTTCCATGTTTTTGCTATTGTGAATAACACGGCAATAAAAGTGCATGTGCAGGTATCTTTTTTATAGAATGATTTGAGTTACTCTGGGTATATTTCCAGAAGAGGGATTGTGGGGGCATATGGAAGGTCAATTTTTAGATCTTTTAGGAACTGCCCCACTGTTTTTCACAGAGGCTGTACTAGTTTACACTCCCACCAACAGTGTAGAAGTGTTCCGTTTTCCCCACATCCTCTCCAGCACCTATGTTTTTGTTTTTTTGTTTTTTCGAGTTATTGATGATGGCCATCCTGACTGGAATTTTAATTTGCATTTCTTTAATGATTAGTGAGGTTGAGCATTTTTTCATGTATCTGTTGGCTGCTCACTTGTCTTCTTTTGAGAAGTGTCTATTCATATATTTTGCCCACTTTTTAATAGGGCTGTTTGTTTCTTTTTTTTCCTTGCAGCACGTTTGAGTTCTTTGTAGATCCCAGATGTTAGGTCTTTGCCAGATATACAGTTATATCATTCCATGATTATTTTATGTATTTTTTAGGTACTGTCTTTTCAGAATATCTTCATAACCCTTGTTTAATGTGTTCCCACCTTCCAAATCTGGTAGTATTCATTTATTTTTATTTTGTTTTGTTTATTTTATATCAGAATGGGAATTGTTATATCTGATTAATTTGGTTACATAGCGGTTTTATCAGAGATTAGAACTGCTTTACATGAGCCACACCGTGTGCGAAAAAGTTCTGAACTAAAATTATTATATTGGTTGTATATCAGATATATAACTAAATTAATCAGGTGGGAGTGCAGTGGCACAATCAGGGCTCACCCAGCCTTGACAGCCTGGGCTCAGGCCATCCTTCTGTCTCAGCCTCCTGAATAGCTGGCACTTAGACGTATGTACCACCATGCCAGGCTAATTTTTAATAAATTTTTTTGTAGGGACAGGGGCTCACTGTGTTGCCCAGGCTGGTCTTGAACTCCTATGCTCAGCCTCCCAAAGTGCTGGGATTGCAGACATGCTCTGCTGCATCTGACCCGGTTTCTTTCAGCGACTTTTTTTGGTTGTTGGAAGTTTTGAGATTTGGCTCAGGGCTTTGAAGGAGATTTATCGAATGTTATCAGCTTTATTGTGAAGTTAGCATTTTCAGCCAAAATGGGGCAAGGGAGGATGGGTGTCGGATCTCAAGACCACATAAATTATGTGAAAGCTTAATGTACAGCCTCCATCAGTGCTGTAAGCTACGTGGGCCCTGCCTAGAACAGCCCTTGCCGGTGGGTGTCCTGCTTTCTCTTTGGCTAGGAGCTATGTTGGATCTAAGGTTAGAAGAGACCCTATTTGTTTAGCTCACAGGGCAATCTAGAAGACCTTGCATTCCTCTGAATCTTTGATTTCCAGGTCAACACTGGATCCTGTCACTCTGCCAGGCTGCAGCTGCAATTTAGCCTCTCATCATTGGTTATTTGTTTCTCAAAATAGCTTTGAGAACAGGAGGAAAATAGAGTAGGTCAACACAGCATATGGTTGAATTTTCATGGACAGATGTGCTCGAGAATAATAAGAAAATTCTTTTAAATTGTTATTTCTGTCATAAATGCAGTAGGCAAATGTTCCGTCGTTATGGCTGGGATTGAGGTATATTTAGCAAATTTTTCATGAGATAACTCATTGACCTAATTTGTGAAAACCATGCTTCTCATGTCTCACTGAAGCTGGTCAGGCAAGGAACAGCCTCTTTGCTATAAGAATCTTCCAGTGTCATCATGGATACAGAAGACTCATTTGAACAGGTGGCTCTGGGATCCTTCCTTATGCAAAACATTCAACATTAAATACATGATGCTCCATGGTTCTTCTTGTTTCGGGTTCGCCGTTTCCTCTCATATTTTTTTAATGACGGAAACTAATACAAAATAATTTTATTTCAGAACTTTTACATGGTGTGGCACATGTAAAACAGTCCCTATTTTTGATATAACAATAAGTCCCTAAGCCCAAGGTGGGAGCTATGACTTTATTATCTCATTGGTCAGTTGCTACAATGGGCAACATCTGCTGAGTTTTGATGTTTGCTTCCACCCTGTGCTGAATTCTGTAAAAGTCACATCATTTCTGCACACTCTGTGTAACAATGAGATAACCTGGAGTTTTTTGGAAATCAGCAACTAAATTAATCGTGTGTGTGTGTGTGTGTGTGTGTGTTTGTGTGTGTGTGTGTGTGTTTTGAAATGTTTCTACTTCATGGAGCTAAAAGACCTGATAACCCTACAGTTCTTCCTTCCACCTCTCCCAAAGACAGTGTGGTTGATTCTCTGAATGATTGTCTTGCCTTGATGGCAACACTGTAAGATTCGTGCAGCAAAGAGGCTGTTCCTTGCCAAGTCATCTTCAGTGAGATATGAGAAGCACAATTTTCAATCATTAGGTTAGTGAGTTATCTCATGAGTGAGTTATCTCATTTGCCATGACTATGAATCATTTGCATACCGCATTCATGACAAAAATAACAATTTAAAGGAATTACCTTATTCTCGAGCACATTTGTCCATGAAAATTCTGCTACTTACGAACTCCATGGGTGGGCCTGTGTGGGCACGAAGGACCAACTATGAATCCTCCGCTCTGCCAGCAAGCACAGAATTGACCAGGGGTTCATCCTGTGGGCTTCTTGTGTGTGTTTCATGGATGGATCTCTGTGGAATTAAAAGCAGGTCTCCACCAGCAGCCAAATTCAACCTGTTAATTCACAACTCGTTATTCCTACTTATTATATTAGTGTTAATATTCATTTTTAAGTTTTTTTTTCCAAAAATTTATGTGTGAGCATACTCACTTTCTGTGTGTTTGTTTTTCTGCCACAGACACAGGAGCGGAAAGACAAGCCCTAAGAGAAAATGTGTATCCTAAACTGAGAGAATTCTGCAGAGAAAACTATGGATTGGAATTTCAGGTAACTCTAGTATTAATTTCGTTTTTAATTTTGTCAGCTAAATAACTACTGTTTGTCTCTTTGTCACACTTGGGAGTTATAAAAGATGAGATTTGTGCCCTGAAAATTTTTATTTCCTTAATCACAGGCAAAAAGAAACATTAGCAAATGGAAATAAAATACGTAGTCATTTTTAATGTTTTGTTCTTTTTCTGTGCTTCTTGGACCCTACCTGGTATTGAGTCATCTTTTTCTTTGAAGCATGTTTATTTGCTTTTTTGACAGTCTCCACTCTTATTTAAAAAAAAAAGATGAAGGTTACTGAGCACCTGAGTTTAAAGTATGGTTTCTAGAAATGTTTTGCGCCTAAAAATCAGGACCAATTTTTGCAAATCATTTTCTTCCAGCAGCCTGGCTAATCCTTGCTTTCTGTCTTACCTTTTAGTTTTTATTCACGTCAAGAATATCCTTTCTCCTGAGCATTTCAGGACTTTACCATTTACTTCCCACCAAAAAATTATATCAGCCTTTCAAGAGACAGTAACTATATATGTTGTTGCCAAAGCTTATGAACACCCTGACGTTTGTATACATCATTGATTTTACCACCTAATGGAAAAGTACTTGAAAACATTGGATGCATCTTGGGCACCCAAATCTTGAAAAAGCAAATAGCTCCTGCAACAGATAACATTATTTAATCCGAACTTTTCAATGTCATTTACAATGGAAATCTTAACTCTCAGTGCTGTCTTAAATGTACATTTACATTGTCAAGTGATGATTATGTAAATAGGTTTGTGGTGCAAGAGTGCAAGATGCAACATTGTTAATGGGAGAACATTTCACCTTTTATTTGTTTGTTCCTGGATAAATATTTTATCTTGGTGTACCTCATGAGGCCTTCTAATATGATGTGAAGGAATAGTCTCACAATGGCTTCAGTCTCAATGCACGATGTCAGTCAGCAGCAGGCCATTATGATACATACATTGAATAGTCACTCCTAAATCACCATTTACTTAATGAATTGTGAGCCTAAATTAAATTCCTTGCCATGGATTCAGTGCTACCTTCTCTGAGGAATCTGGCTCTGCTGATAACAGGGTCCCAATTGTTACAAAACTTCCAGTCTGTCAGGATTCCCAAAGCCTCCTTAGGGACTCAGTTACCACAGAGGAAGAAATGTGTCTGAGCATATTCATTCCACCATTGAGTTTGTAAGCAAAGGGAGGAAGTTGTTGAGATACAGAACAGCTTCCATAAAATATGGTATTGACTAGGATTAGCTGGGAGGGCGACATATATTTTCTGAATTAGAGGTAGGCACAGGAGAAGATAGATACAGCCAAAAGAAATGGTAGCAGGCAAGACCCATAAATTCATGGCAGAATCCTTCTAAGCAAATGCACTGAGTCAACCGAGAAGATGCTGGACAACAGAGAAAACAGCAATGGGCAGGGAGGACACGAGCCCCAGCTTGCTGCAGGTACTGAGAGTGACGTAACCCACTCACCCTTTAGTTCAGTATCTAAAACAGAGATGGCAACATCTTACACATCTGATGTTGCTTGTAGAATAAAATAAAATATAGAAGGTTGCATTTGCTTTTCAGCTCTAGGAATAAGAAGAGATCACATGCATAGTATCTGAATCTTCTAAGAATATACTTTTACTTTTTAGTGTAGTCTTTTATGGTAGGTTAATGAAAATGTAGTTTTTAGAGACAGTTCTTTTCTCTCAACTGCAACAAAATATAATGCCAGAATCTTCATGAAAAGCCGGTTTACCTCTGCAGTATCCCTGATTCCATCTTTGGTTGTGCAGTGAATGCAGAAGAATATGAATTTCCTAGAGTTACTCTAATATGCCAATCTCTTTCCTCAAACATACCTATTTATTTCATGTTAGCTTGTGCCATTCTAGCTATAGCCCACAGTGTGTTTCAATCTGATTCTTCCTCTGCTTCACTTCCTGAATCTTTCTCATTCCCCAGATTCTTCCTGTCTGATCTCAAGTTGTTCCTCATCCCCCTGGCCCATTTCCCTATAGTTCCATATGCTTCTTTTGGTTTCCTGAACACCAAGGCCATTCCTACTCAAGAATTTTGCCCTGACTGTTCTGTCTGCCGGGAATACTCAACCACCTTCACATGCTGTTTTTTTATTTTCCCTCAGGTCTCCACCAAAACGTTCCTTCCGAGAGATGCTTCCCTAGTGACCCATTCTAAATAACCACCTCTCTTTTCCATCAAGCCATTTTAGTTCCTTGCATAGCCTGAGCCGTTGTCAGATATTTTTCTTGTTTACTTATGCATTGTCTTATTTATTCTCTTTATCCCACTAGATTGTAACTTCTACAAGAACAGAGGCTTGCCTGTCTTCATGATAGTTACATTTCTAGTCCTAGAATAGTCCCTGGCACATAGGAAGATACTATGTTAAGTTGTTGAATGAATGAATGTTTACATTAAAAAAATGAATGAATGAAGACTCAGCCCAGATAAACTCGTGGTAGGATACCTTCTCTGGCCCGCCCCCCATGCCTCTTAGGATAGGCCATGTACTCTCCTCTTTGCTCCCCTAAAATCTAAGGCATCATTCATCCAGTTCATTCAAGAAGTATTTGTTGAGCACTGACCACATGGCAGTCAACACTCTAAATGCTGGAAATACAGGAGAAACCATACAGACTCTCTCCTGTGGAGCTTCCAGTGTTGTTGGGGAAGGCAGACAAAACACAAATAAATTCTAGTTGCAACACATGCATTTCATTGAATAAGTGCTTTTCTAAGAAAAATAAAGTGGGTAAAGAGGAGTTAGGGCATGCCAGGTAGTCAGAGGGAGGATTGGAAATAAGACTATTTTGAGAAGAGATCTGCAGAAAGTCATGGAGCAATAAATCAGATATCTGGGGGTGGAGGAAGAATGAAGGCATATGGAACAAGGAAAATGGTCTGAGGTGGAAGTGTTTAGAATATTCCAAGAACAGTGAAGAAGCCAAGTGTGACTGGAGTAAGGGAAATAATTATAGATGACACCAAAGTCAGATCATGTGAGACTTTATGTTTCAAGATTAGGAACTTTGACTTTAGAAGGGAAAGAGTGAGGTGATATGATTTACCTTGAAGAAGTTTGCTCACGAGCTATGGGTAGAATAGAATAGGGGAGAGATGGTCAAAGCAGGAAGATGGCTTAAGAAAGAAGTGATTATGGCAGGAACCAAAGTGAGTAGGGGAGATAATTAGACCATCTGGTTAGGGAAACTTCTGGTCACCTGCCTCTAAGGTCTAGAAGTTCCCAGAACTGAGATTGTATCTCATTCAACTTACCCAATGATCAGTCAAGTAGCTGGCACATCATAAATCATTTAGATCAATCTTTATTGATTAAATTGATAGAATATGGAGTTACATTTTAAGTCTCTTTATCGATGTGCCTGTTTGGCAGGCTATTTTGTAGTATTTTCTTTGTTTTTTTCATTTAAAGACATTTAATGAAAATGTACCATGCTCTGATTATGCGAGCTTCAGTTAATTCTGTGTGTGATATATGCACATATAGGTCAATTGCTCAGAGATAGAAACAACTCAGTGGAAAAAGCATCAAGCCCACTCAGCAAAGGACACCCATGGCTTCAGGAAAAGACATGGCATTTAAATAATATGTTATCTGATTTGCAGGTGCTCATTAATTGCCTCCAGCTACAAAGTAGAGGATACAAAGTAAGAACAAGAGGAATGAATTGGGAAAAATAAAGACAAACCAGGGTGAAAGCAGGACCCCACACATAAAGGGTTTGTGGTTGTACCCACAGAGAGCACCCACTCTTGCTTTTGGGACTCTTCCCCATCCCCACTGGTAAGACCCTGCCCTGACACCCACTGCTTCAAGCATCTTAACAGACCGACCGCTTTTCCTACTTGTCCCCGTAGTGTGTGAGTCCTTAAGAAAGAGACTGGTTCTTGCTTGTTTGAAGTCCCCAAGGCCTGGAACAGAGTTTGTTCCACTTTGAGGGGTTTTGTGTGCTCTGCAGAATTGCCTACGCCATCATCCTAAGGAGTTTTTCTGCACACCTCCGCTAGTCATCTTTCTTGAATGTCGTATTGTCAATCCCTTGTTTAAAAACTCTTAATGGCTCCCTTCTGCCTAAATGGTCTCTCTTTAATGTGGCCCAGCTGTCACTTCTCCTTTATCTCCCACTCTGCTCAACATAAAGAGTCCATGCCAGTCACGCCATTCATGACCTGTCCTTCGAACACGTCTTGCTGGATACTCATTTCTGATTCTAAAATCCCATTCACTGTATCCGTTTCAATTCGTGCTTCCCATCAGAAAAGCCCTTTCTTCACCCCTACCTGCCCCACACTCCATCTTCACAATCCAGCTCAAGACCTAACTTTCCCAAGACGTCTTTTCAGATTTCTAAATAGCCTCCCTTCTTCTCTCTGAACTCATAAATCTGTCCCACAGAGCCACCGAGACAAGAACTCATAAATCTGTCCCACATAGCCCTCAAGACAAGAATAAAATGAGTTAGGTCAGGGACCTCCAACGAAGGTATTTAATGGGTATTTAGGGCACCTTCATTTTAAAAGAAGTTTTTTATCTCAGTCCAGCTACTTCACACATATGTTTGTTGCAGCCCTGTTCACAATAGCAAAAACATGGAACGAACCATGTTGCCCATCGAAGCTGAACTAGATTTTTTTAAATGTGGTACAAATACACAATGGAATGCTATGTAGCCATAAAGAAGGACAAACATAGGGACTTCACAGCAACTTGGATGGATTTAGAGTCAATAATACTCAGTGATCTATCACAGAAACAAAGAACAGAGTACCATATGTTTTCACTCATAAGCGGACCTTGAAAAATTATTATAATACTATAAGAAAGGGATTGGAAGTAGTGGGAAACTGTGAGAGATGGGGGGTGGGATTGGCAGCTGAGGGAAACTGCTAGGGGAGGGAGGGGCATACCTCATCGACAAAAGTACCTGCATAATCAACGTTTGTA